GGGTTCGGACTGGGGCGCTTGCAAGCGGCGGGGGGGTGGCTTAGTTTCCACGCGTCGTAATATTTTTCTAAGTTAAAAGCGACAGTTGTGGCCGGGAGCTCCTTTTCCTCCCCCGCAGACAGTATCTCCTCCTTCCGTGTCTCTGAAGCATCCACAAGCCGGCTCTTGATTTCTTCCTTTGGTAGACATTTAGGGACGGCCGGGAGAGGGGAATGTGTCTTGATCTTTGTTATGCAGCTGTTCCTATTGAGGAGCCTAAATATTGCTGCATGTAGCATCTAGGAAGGGAAATTTGCGGTAATTCATCTTTTTCATAGATGGGCAGCGGGGTTTAGAGTCCAATGTTAAAAAAGTCCCAGAGCCAAAGAGAAAAGATCAATGTGCAAATAAATTAACGTTTTTTAGTAAATTTCAGTGTAATTTTTTGCAGCTTGTCAGAATTTTCTGAAGCTTTGCAAAATCAAGTACTACAACTACTGCCTCATTCACAATGTACAGGTTAGTGTCTTTAATATAGTTTATATTTCCTTTTTTCTCTGCATCCATACATGGACTAATACCTTGTGTTATTTTACATTATTCCAGAGGGATTTTATTATACAAACTGGTGACCCCTTGGGTACAGGCCGTGGAGGGGAATCTATCTTTTGGTGAGTAAAACATACTTAATATAAAATAGTCCTAATTTGGGAGTGTAGTTGATTCTGTTTGGACTTACTGAATGTCCTACTTAAACACTGTTGGGAGGAGAGAGCTTCTTTTGCTCATACACCTTTATTTCTGTTGTCCTTCCTCATACTGTCTTTTGATCCTAGACACTTAGGGTTTTTTTTTAGGACAGCATGCTGCTTCTATTCTTAAATCAATAATGTGTAATTGTAAAGAGGTCACTGTAGGTTTGTCTGCAGCACTGCATGCCCTAAATAGCTGCTCTGGAGAAGTCAACAATTTTTCTACTGCAATGCTAAGGACTACAATCCCATGCTCTTATATTTTGTTTATGATTGAGGGGAAGTGGGAGATTAGAGTAAAAATTCCCCTGAGTCCCTTGTCAAAATCAATAAAACTTGCCTGGACTCACATTTTAACTTCCCTAAATACATTAAGTGTTCTTTTTGGTACCAGGTTATTGGAGTGTGTGTGTGTGTGCACGCGTGTGTTTAAAGAGGTATGCAAAGGGTGTTGGGGAGAAAATCGCATTTCTTATAGAAATCAATTTTCTCTACTTGTAAAAAGGTAAAATAGAATTTTAGCTGATTGCATAATCTTCCAGATACTCTTTTTTTTTTTTTTTTTTTTTTTTTTTTTTTTAAACTGACGCTCTTGAGGAAAACAGCCCTCTGTATTTAGTGCTTAGTTGATGAATAGTGCTCGTACAATTCTATTGGCTGGATAGAATTACAATTATTTGCCCTTGCACTACTCTAGACCTCACTATTATGGATCTTTGAGGCACACCAAATAAATTTACATCTGTTCTGCTATGCTATAATGGAGTTAGGGAGACTTTGTTACAACATGGTTACAAAGTTCTACCCACACTGTAAGATAGGAACATGAAAGTGTAAATGTACACATGGTTAACTGGTGAGCTTGGGCTCATTGAATAAACTTCATGGTTACACATAGCCCCTCTTCCTCTCCCTGTATTGCTGCCTCTGTATTGCAGAAAATTTCAGCAGTTACATGTTTACTTAAATAAACACATTTTAA